CACTGCTCCTCTGCGTGTCCCGTTGCCGTCTCCTCCAGAGTCCTCTCTTCCTGTTCTTGCTGACCCGGAGTCTGACTCTCTTCGTGCTACCAGTCCTACTGTCACGCGTCTCCTCCCTACTATTGTCACTGACCCTTCCTTTGAGTCCAGTGCTGCGTCTGCCTTGGTTGCTGGGCTTGTCGACTTTGCTGCTCGCTGTCGTCTAGACTACGCTGCTAGTCTTGTTGCTGAGGCTGAGTCTGTCTGTCCTCCGTCCGTCGGGGGTGAGTGTGCTCTTAGCACGGACGTCCTTGAGGACAGGCAGGAGGAGTTCCAGTGTTTTGCTGCTGCTTTGCCTCATCTCGTGTCCACGCTGATTGCCCCTGAGGGAGACCCGGATGCACCAGACATCCCGACTCCTCGATCGTACGCTGAGGGGATCGAGGGTCCCTACTCCTCACAGTGGCAGTCAGCCATGGACGCAGAGATGGCTTCCTGGAAGTCCACAGCCACCTACGTCGACGAGGTTCCCCCACCTTGGGCGATCATCGTTAGTGGCATGTGGATTTTCAGGGTGAAGTGGCCGCCGGGTTCTCCGCCTGTCTTCAAGGCGCGTTACGTGGCTCGAGGCTTCAGTCAGCGGCAAGGAGTTGACTACTTTCAGACCTTCTCTCCCACCCCAAAGATGACCACTCTTCGTGTGCTGCTGCACATCGCCGCTGAGCGCGACTACGAGCTTCACTCTCTTGACTTCAGCACAGCTTTCCTGCAGGGCAGCCTGCACGAGGAGATCTGGCTGTGACGCCCACCTGGCTTCAATGGGTCGTTTCCTCCAGGTACCCAGTGGAGCCTCCGGCGGCCAGTCTACGGTCTCCGCCAGGCGCCGCGTGAGTGGCACGACACACTGAGGACTACACTTGCGGCTCTTGGGTTTGCTCCTTCTACTGCCGACGCGTCGCTGTTTCTGCGCACCGACACCTCTTTGCCGCCGTTCTACATCCTCGTGTACGTCGACGACTTGGTCTTTGCCACTGCTGATACTGCTAGACTCGCCCACGTGAAGTCCGAGCTGCAGAAGAGACACACGTGCACAGACTTGGGTGAACTGCGCAGCTACCTTGGCTTGCAGATCTCCGGGACAGAGCACAGCGCACCATTACCCTGACTCAGTCACACATGGTGCAGCAGGTCTTTCAGCGCTTCGACTTAACATACTCCTCGCCTCAGACCACTCCTCTGTCTTCTCGCCACTCGCTCTCAGCTCTGCCTTCGGATGAGTCCGTAGAGCCGAGTGGCCCGTACCCAGAGCTTGTTGGTTGCCTCGTGTACCTAATGACCTGCACACGACCTGACCTTGCATACCCTCTTAGCATCTTGGCACGCTATGTTGCTCCTGGGAGACACCGACCAGAGCACATGGCTGCAGCGAAGAGGGTGTTGCGCTACTTGTGCAGTACGTCGGGCATGGGGCTAGTGCTTGGAGGGCGACGTCGAATGGTCCTCACAGGTCACGCAGACGCTTCCTGGGCTAACGACCAGGCTACGCAGCGGTCGTCACACGGTTACAGATTCAGCCTTGGCTCCGGCTCTGTTTCGTGGCGGTCTACTCGCTCGTCTTCTGTTCTCGGCTCCAGCTGTGAGGCTGAGATCTATGCGGGGGCCATGGCTACACAGGAGCTACGCTGGCTCACCTACCTGCTGGCTGACCTAGGAGAGTCGCCTCGTTCTCCTCCAGTTTTGTACGTAGACAACAAGGCCATGCTGGCCTTGTGTCGGGAGCACAGACTAGAGCACAGAACGAAGCACATTGCTCTTTGCTACTTCCTTGCTCGTGAGCTGCAACAGCGTGGTCAGCTGTGCCTTGCTTACGTGGCCTCTGAGGCCAACACTGCTGATATCTTTACCAAGGCACTTCCGCCTTGTGATCATCAGCGCTTCTGTACGATGCTAGGTCTTGTGCCTACTTGGCCTCACTTGCTTACTTCTTGACCTTGCTTGTACTGTGATATTTCTATACCTGCAGTTGCTTTTTTCCCTTTATATATGATCTTGCATGTGAACTGGCCTTGTGGCCTTGTTCTTGTGCTCGGACTGTGTGGTGACGTTGTGATCCACCCTGAGCTTGTTTTGCTTTGCTTGACTGGTCTTGTGACCTCTTGTTCTTCCCCACTTTGCCTATGGGGGTGTTTCAAACATATATGACATAGTCTGTGTAGGCTGTAGTGGGGTAGACTATATGGGATACAACACTGCTAGGTTTTCCTACTTGTACCCATCTCCTTGCTAGTTTAGTCATTCCTTGTTCAGTAATTCTCACATATATCTTGGTCCTACTGGTGGCAGCCATGGTGTAGACGCGGCTGGAGACGCGGAGTGAATTAGCAAATGTGAGCGGAGAAAGAGCGATAGCACTCAGGATCAAGGAGACTCTGGCAGCTGTGGCCATGAAAATCGATTATAAGCGACACATAATACATCATTTTGTACGCCACGACATCTAGCGCACATTTTCCAGGCGGTAAGCAGTCGCCTATTAAGGGCGTGTTCGTTCTGTCAAATTGGACAGAGTTCGTGTTTTGGGGGCGATTTTTTATTTTAACCTAAGTCGAATGGAATTCGACTTTCCTTGCAACGAAGCTTGAAAATTGCGGGAATAACACTGCAAAGATGCAATCACACAAGCAAGGTCGAACATCAGAATTCGAAATTTATATTACCCGGTACATGCTCGCCAAGTCAAATTAATGCCATTATATGTTTCGCGATTGAGTCGTCAATTTCGCATGGTGTTCGTAGGTGCCGAAAACACACACGCTCACATGAACGTGCTCACGCACGTTCACAACGCCAACTCGAGTCATGTTCACATTTCAAGTTCGAACTTTCATTAGCCCTGAAATTCGCGATGTTCGTCACACGCTCTTAACGAGATTGGCGAAAAAGGTAACCACTAAAGTTCAAACTTATTTTCGAACTTGGAAACGGAACGAACGCGCCCTAAGCATCTGCGTCGGCTACTATTGCGCATTGCTGCAGTCTCAAGCCAGAGCCGGCGCTGACGAGATTCTAGAACGGCGGGTGGTTGCCACGAGGTTTCGGCATCGACAAGGCGAACACATACGTGATGTGCTTTTGAAGTCCTCCTTTTCAGCACACGCATTATAGCATACTAGCATTCTATCCTGAGAGTATCACTAAATCAATGTCTCTTTACGTTCTACTTCGAAAAACTGGGCCACACCCCTGACTTTCAGTGCCTTGGCCATCTGCTTTTCCCAACGGCGGGGCAGCTTTTCAGGGCGAGTGATAAATATCAGCCCCAAAAGAAAGAACGCTGACCTCGTCAGCTGGATTGTCGAATCAGCACCGACTGAGCTGGCAGCTCCTGAGGATCTCTCCATCCCCGCTCTTGGAAAATGAGGTGGATGGCTTCTTGTGGAGGCTTCTAGGAAGTGAGACATGCTCGAGGCGCATTTCTGGGCCTCGAACTCCACGCGAACCAAGATTAGCTTTTTCGCCACCACGCAATTTGTTCTCCTGCCTTCGCGAATACACTTGCTGATCTTTCGCATGATTTTGGCTTCACGGCTGAGAAACACCCATCTCGGAAACGACACAGAAACAGTTCCGAAGGGGTGACACTGAGGAGCGCGCGAAAGTGAGGAACTCAAATCCACCAATCAGAGAGCCATGCCAGCCAGCAAAATCAGTCCCCAAGGAAGGGACGCGCAGCCTTGCGGAAGCATGTGGGGGTTGCGTGAGATCTGGGCCAAATACTCACCGCGGAGAAAGTTCTCCTCACACAGGGTAGTCCCCGCACCTCAACCTCTGTCAGTTTTCCGCTTGGCGGAGACGTAAGTGCTATACGGATGAATCACAAAATGCCACGCTGCACACCTGACAGGATCTAGGTCGTTGCAGCCTCCGCTCTCACAACACAACAACTGCTGTTGTACCCTTCCCCTCTGCCGCCGCCTTTCCTAAACCTCCGCTCTCCTCCCCGCGTTCCCCAAGTCCGTGCGGTTGAGTCCAATCTGTTCACAGTGAACGGCGGAAGGAAGGAAGGAATGAGGCGTGAACGGGGAAGGGGAGCGGGGAAAATGAGAGGGGGAAGTACTTGATGGGGAATGCGGGGGAGAGGGGGGGGGGGAGTGAGTTGGTGGGGGAACGAACAAATGAGGGGGATTCACACAGATGATTCTCTGCTTCTGTTGGCTTCTCTCCGCTCATTCGCAAAACGTGTTCGTTTACCGAACAAGAGGGGGGCCTTGCATACTACAGTAGAGGGAAGAGGAATTGGTTTGGGAAGGAGACTGGCGCTCGGGCTCAAACAAGAGCTGAAACTGCTTACACACAGCTCGCACACCACAATTGACGAATTCGAAACGAGGAGAGCGTAAACCCACAACTCGGCCAACGAAGCGCGCTTTCGGCCCTGACTGCACGCCGCTTCGATTCGCTACGCGCAGGTCCATGTGAATCGTTTGCGCAAATTCTTGGCTGTAGCTGCCAGAGGTTGTCAATTGCAAGCTGTAAACAAGAAAGAAATCGTCATGGCTGACGTTTCTGGTCCCAGTTCCGCTCATGTGTCCGTCACGAATAATCATACGGACAACCAAAGGTCACCTCCGAGCAAGTTTCCGGAACCTCTTCTTGTTGAAGTGTCTGAATTGGTATGTCTCTGCTGTTACGGTACTCCGTTTACAATTGCGCTGTGTCAACTTTTTGTTTTTTAGATCGCGCCGCGCGGCTTTAATCACATGTTCGTTGACAAGGCGGCATCATCAACATTTCGTTTGCCCGATTATCCCCGCCGCGGTCTCTTGTTTCAGACGGTGGAGCTTGAGGCATGGGAAGACGACCTTTTTACTTTGTCCGGTGACGAAGCTGGCGATATTGGCGAAATCCGTGAGGTTGTCGCGCCGGTCGCCGCGCCAATGGGTCAACTCGAGCTTCCCGCTGTTTCTGCGGAATTCAGCGGTTCGTTGAATCAAGACGGTCTCGAAACACCGTCGTCACCGATGCTCTTCTCGCCGTTTTTGCCCGAGGACGGTCTGTCGGCGGAGGGCGAGGGGTTTCTGGATGGGTTGGCGCCGCTGAGTGCTTTTCACGAAAACGAAGAATCTCCTCTTGCCGTTCCGGTGAGTGATTGTGGTTGAGGCAGGGTTTTGCTGTCTTAATTTCTTTGTGCTAAAGTAAACCCTCTTTCCGTATACTTCGACGGTTTCTGTTGTCGAGCTTCCTGTCGTTTTTTTTTTTTTTTGCCCTGTTTCTCCTATCGCCCTTTGTAAGTGTTTCCTCTCGTTTCTTCATCTCTTAAACTTTTTGTGCCTCCTTTGCGTGCAGAGTGACGATCTCGACGAGCTGGATGCGATTCTCTTCCCATCCCTGCCCGGTAGCATGGCCAGCATCGCCAGCAGCAGCAACCTCTGCAGCCCCGCCGCTCTCCCGCCGCCGCAGCAGTGTCACCCCTTCCACCATCGCGAGCACCCGCCTTGCAAGCACAAGCAGAAGTACAAGCACAAGCACACGCTTAAGCAGAAGCTTCGCGACTCCCCCGTTTTCCGGCGCGACAGCGCGGCTGCGCGCCGAGCGTTGGAGCGCCTGCTGGCGGACGGCGGGATCGCCGGCAAGCGAGCTCGCAGCGCGCGCGGGAGCATCCGGAGCTGCAGCAGCTGCGGCCATGGCGGGAGGAAGAACGAGAGTGGCGCTGGAGGGATGCCGCTGGCGGTCCGCGAGGTGCGTGAGGTTGGCGAGAATGGGTACGTTCGTGACGTTGGCGAGGACGACCGCTTTCGAAGCGAAGGCAGACTGTTAGACGTGAAGCGCGAAGGGGGAGTGGCGGAGACGTTGAAGTTCGATCGATTGGAACTGGTCGAGTCGACGCTAGGGCCGCTGGTTGCTCGCATGGACGAACCGAGGAACGCTGCGAATGGTGCGACTGCGAACGTTGCAGATGTCACGACCACCGCAAACGGTGCAACGAATGGTGCGAGCGATACTCCGGGTGCAACGGACGGCGTTGACGGGCGAAGCAACGGCGGTGCCACCAGCGGAGGTGCCGCCAGCGGAGGTGCCGCCAGCGGAGGTGCCGCCAGCGGAGGTGCCGCCAGCGGAGGTGCCGCCAGCGGAGGTGCCGCCAGCGGAGGTGCCGCCAGCGGAGGTGCCGCCAGCGGCGCCGACGATCATCTCGCGAGTCGACACGACGTCGACGGCAGCGCCACTAGCGTCTCGCGAAGCAACGACAAGACTGTGGGGTGTCACTGCGCTTGTCGCGGAAAAGAAGAGGCAGGTTGCGCAGGCAGGAGCGAGGACAGCAAGGGGATTAAGGGTATCAACGGTAAGCGCCCGTGGTCTTCCCCGCTCGTTGCGTACCTCCTCTCTCCGCCGTCCCCTCGCCCCGCGAAGCGCCGAAGCCTCCCTGTCACGCCCGCGCCGTCGCCAATTTCGCTGGGGGGTTTACCCAGTGGTTTTTTGTCGCCGGAAATGGAGACAAGGGTTTTCAGACTACCTGCTGCCGCCTCCTCCTCCGCACCTGCTGCTACTCCTGCCCCCTCAGCCACCGCCGCCGACGGTGGCGCTTCCGCTGACGCGCCTGCTTCTTCTCCCGCTGCTGCTGGCGCTGCTGTTGCCGGCGCGTTCCCGTCGCGGCGGTGCTCGCACTGCTCAACAACCACAACCCCGCAGTGGCGCACGGGGCCGCTGGGCGCGAAGACGCTGTGCAACGCGTGCGGCGTGCGGTTCAAGTCTGGTCGCCTGTGCCCTGAGTACCGCCCCGCCAACAGCCCCGGATTCTCCCCGAACCTGCACTCGAACCTGCACCGGAAGATCGTCCAGATGCGGGAGAGGCGCGGCGGTGAGGGCGGTGAGGGGGATTGCAGCGCTGAAGGCGGGGTTGAGGCAGGGGAGCTTGCGAGGAAGGAGGTTCAGGGTTTAAGGAAGATTAAGAAGGTGAAGGAGTGTGTGGAGGGAGGAACGGTGGAGGGAGGGCCAGGCAGAAGTGGAAACATGGGTGTAGCAGTTGTGCAGGAGAAGGTTCAGGTGAGGGTTCAGGAGATTGTCCAGGAGAGGGTTCAGGGGGAGGTTCAGGAGAGAGTGAAGGAGAGGGTTAAAGAGGGTTTGGATGAGGAGGTTGTTGTCATAAGCTCTGCCGTACAATCTGCAATGAGTCCGTTGAGTGGTTGTGGGAAGAAGCATCGCAAGGTTGACATTGTTGCAGCTCGGCGAGCCGACGCCCAGGCAGCAGCGACGCGCGCGCTACAGTCCGCTGAAGGGGTTGTTGAGGTGCAACAATCTGCTGCCAGTGCTGTCAGTGCTGCTGGTGCTCCCAGTGCTGACGCCCAGGCAGCAGCGACGCGTGCACTTGAGTCTGCTGAGGGGATTGTGGGAGTGCAGCAACTTACTGGCAGTGTTGCTGGTGCTGCCAGTGTTGCTGGTGCTGCCAGTGCTTCTTATGCTGCTAGTGCTGCCAGTGCTACTGGTGCTGTTAGTGCTGCGGTTGCTTCTACTGCTGGAGAGGGTGCACTGCCCTCTGGAGCTGCTGCAGTGATGGGTGACTCGGGAACAGGCGGGTGTGTGGAGAAGAAGAAAGATGATGGGTCGACTCGTGAGCGTTCCATGACCACTGTGGGTGGAAGTGCGGGTGCAAGTGCAGCGATGGTGTCACTTCAGAGGAGCTGCTCTAGTGGAGCTCACCTTACCACCAATTTTGTTGCTGCGTCAGCCTGATGGAGTCAGTCAGTTGCTGATAAGTCAAAGTTAGAGCGTTTATTGGTGCAGCAGTTGCGGGTTGAGTGCTAGTGCTGGCCCAGCCATTGCGACTCTGTTCAGGAGTCGCTGTGGCGAAACCATTTGGCAGCTTTTTTTTGCTATTTTGTGTGATGCTTCAGTTGGGCCGATGCCTGCTGTTGGCTGTATAGTGGGCATGCGATGTACCATTCTTTTTGGTGTGGTTTGTTGTATTGTTTTGGACTTTTGCAGAATGCAAATTGTTCTTTGAGCTTTATCAGAAAGCCGAGGCAGTATTATAATTCTAACACACTCTGTAGCGAATTTGATTTTGTGAAGTCGTATGCTGCGGAAGATTTATCGAAGGTTATTGGGGATCTGGGTAACACCGGGAGGAGATCCAGCGCCATCGTGGGAGAAGGCGGCAGATAGAGCGGGTGGAGTACTGGTGAAGTGGCAGAACCAACATGTAAACACGTCGACGCGCGTCACGGTGTTCAACTCGTACGCCACACCGATCCTTCTTTTTCAAGCATAGGTGCACCTTTCGGTGTTGACCAGGAGCCACGTAGCAAGCCAAAAGGCCAAGACGGTACGCAAGGTCAGGTAGAGTGCAGGTCATCACGTACATGAGGCAGCCAACTAGCTCTGGGTAATGACCACCCGGCTCTACGGACTCGTCCGAAGGTGGAGCTGAGAGCGAGTGACCTGTAGCCAGAGGAGTGGCCTGTGCTGAGGACCAGGTGAAGCTGAAGCGCTGAAGGACCTGCTGCACCATGTGTGACTGAGTCAGTGTGATGGTGCGGCGTGCTCTGTCCCGGGTGATCTGCAAGCCAAGGTAGCTGCGCAGCTCACCCAGGTCTGTGCACGTGTGTCTCTTCTGCAGCTCCGACTTCACCAGGGCGAGAGACTCATTGCCAGCAGTGGCAAAGACCAAGTCGTCGACGTACACGAAGATGTAGAGCGACGGCAGCGAAGTGTCGGTGCGCAGTAACAGTGACGGGTCAGCAGTCGACGGAGCAAACCCAAGAGCCGCAAGTGTAGTCCTCAGTGTGTCGTGCCACTCACGCGGCGCCTAACGGAGACCGTAGACTGGCCGCCGGAGGCTCCACTGGGTACCAGGAGGGAACGACCCAGTGAAGCTAGGTGGGCGGCGCAGCCAGATCTCCTCGTGCAGGCTGCCCTGTAGGAAAGCAGTGCTGAAGTCAAGAGAGTGAAGCTCGTAGTCACGCTGAGCAGCAACGTGCAGCAGCACCCGAAGAGTGGTCATCTTCGGGGTGGGGGAGAAGGTCTGGAAGAAGTCAACTCCCTCTCGCTGACTGAAGCCTCGAGCAACGTAATGAGCCTTGAAGACAGGAGGAGAACCTGGCGGCCGCTTCACCCTGAAAATCCACATGCCACTGACGATGTTCGCCCCAGGTGGGGGAACCTCGTCGACGTAGGTGCCTGTGGACTTCCAGGAAGCCATCTCTGCGTCCATGGCTGTCTGCCACTGAGAGGAGTACTCACCCGCGATCGCCTCAGCGTAAGAGCGCGGGGTCGGGATGTCTGGAGCATCCGGGTCTCTCTCAAGGGCAAGCAACATGGACACGAGATGAGGCGCAGCGGCTGCAAGCCTCTCAAGGTCCTCATGCCTGTCCTCAAGGACGTCCGTGCCAAGAGCACACTCACCCCTGACGGACGGAGGACAGATAGACTCAGACTCAGCAACAAGACTAGCGGCGTAGTCTAGACGACAGGCAGCAGCAAAGTCGACAAGCTCAGCTACAAGGGTAGACGCAGCAGTGGACTCAAACGACGGGTCAGTGACAATAGTGGCTAACAGACGTGTGACCGTAGGGTGCTCAGTATGAAACTGGTCAGATTCAGGGTCAGCAGCGACAGGCAGAGAGGACTGAGGAGGGGACGGCAAAGGCACACAAGGCGAAGAAGAGGAAAGACGACAGACTACAAGGTGGGTGCGTGGAACAGCCCGCTGTCGTTGACGAGGAACACGACGACCAGAACGGACAGGCGAGACAGGACGTGACGCAGGCTCACGACGCTCAGCAAGACCTCCTGATTGCTCAGTGTAAGGAGAAGGAGCAGGCACGGGTGAGCCAGGCTGTAACGGAAGACCAGTAGACAACGGGAGGCTAAGAACCTGGCGAAGCACGGAGGCAGGCGGTGGCAGTGACGACGGAGAAGGCGGAGCAAAGAACAGGCGTGGCTGGGCGCAGCGCCACCAGCACCAGCGGCTCCAACACCCTCAGCAGCTCCAGCAACCCCAGCAGCTCCAGTACCTCCAGCAGCTCCAGCACCCTCAGTAGCTCCAGCACTCTCAGTAGCTCCAGTACCCTCAGCAGCTCCAGCACCCTCAGCAGAAACACCCCCAGAACCAGCACCCCCAGTCCCAGGGTCACCAGCCTCAGTGTCTCCAGTAGCAGCACCCCCAGACCCAGGGTCTCCACAAGGAGTACCCTCAGGCTCAGCAGCACCTCCAGCCCCAGCAGCTCCAGTACCTCCAGTACAAGCACCTCCGAGACCAGCACCACTCCTAGCTCCAGTGACGGCAGTAGAAGTACCTCCAGCAGCAGAGCCCCGAGCTCCAGAAGCGCGGCCCTGACGGCGACCGTACCAGTCGTGCAGCTGCTGTGAGGTGAGACGTACACGGGCACGAAGACAGGTACTCCAAGGAGATCGCGGAGCAGCAGTCTCAGCACCCCCAGACCCAGCACCCCCAGGCTCCGCACACGCAGGCTCAGCACCCCCAGACTCCGCACCCCCAGGCTCCTCACGTGCAGGCTCCGCACCCCCAGGCTCCTCACGCGCAAGCTCTGCACCCCCAGGCTCAACACCCCCAGGCTCAGCACTCCCAGGCTCCTCACGCTCAGGCTCCGCACCCCCCGGCTCAGCACCCCCAGATACAACACCCCGAGCAGGACCACCCCCAACAGTACCTGAGTCACTAGTGACCTCCACAGGCGCAGGCATGGGAGGGTCTACCTGAGAAACACTTGAAGGAGCAGGACCTGGCGCGGGGAGGGGGTCTACCTGGGGAGGACCTGGAGCGAGAAAGAGCAGCGGGGGGGGGCGAGGGGCAGTGCGGTAGGGAAAGAGACGGTAAAAGGGGACGGACCCGTCAAAGGTGACGTCCTGAGACGCAAAGACATGGCGCGTGGCTGGGTCGTAGAACTGCCAGCCAGGCGCGTCAGGGACAAAGCCAAGGAAGACGCAGGGAATGGCGCGAAGGGAGAGCTTGTCCGCAGACTCACTAGCACCTAGGGCTGCAGGCGCTATACCTGGGTCTATACCGGGGTCACGCGGCACACACAAGTAACAGTCACCCTTAGCACTAACAGTCAATGCATACATGGCAACAAGGATTGCATCATAATCAAGATCAAAGATACGTACATCACGCCTCAGCAGATCTGCCCAGTTGGGGAATTCAGCAGCATTAGGAAACTTGGCGCGCCAGGCGTCGCTGAGCCGAGCGAAGCAGCGGTACTCAGTGTGAAAGCCGTTGCATGGGCGACCCTTACGGGGACCGGTGAGAATGACATAGGGGCAGCGACCAGGACCCCCAGACGCCCCACGCCCGGCATACCAGTCATGGAGCTGCTGAGAAGAGGGGGTCTAGCGCTGCTGCTGCTGCTACTGCTGCTGGCCACCACTGGAAGTCCCCTTATGGCTGGTCCCACTCCCGCCCCCACCTCCACCGCCACCACCACTGCCTCCTCCCCCACTACCTCCGCTGCCACCTCCACCACTCCCGGTTCCACCACCGCCCCACCCACCTACTCCACCCCCACGACCACCCCCACCACCGCCACCACCCCCGCCGCCTCCACCACCGCTCCCTCCACCGCCACCGCCACCACCTCTGCCACCCTTTCCGCCCCTGCCACTGCCTCGCTTCCCACTAGGAGCGGAAGCCCTTGCAACCTTCTCAGCACCGAGGAGGTCGACTGCAGTAGCAACTGAGGCGTAGGAGGGGGCAAGAGGGGAGGGGGAGCACCCCTCAAAGAGGGGAGTGCGTGGAGTGCCACGGGCAGCACCTACAGCGAGGATGTTCTTCTCTGCTGCTAGGAGCTGCTGCTCGAAGTCGGCTAGAGTGATAGTGGTAGGGTCCTTGGCGAGGAAACAGTCCCTGATCGAGCTAAGAGTGTCAGGGAGGCGAGTGACAAGGATGTAGAGGGTAAAGTACAGCGGTGGGGTGTTCGTAGCGAGGAACTCGTCGGTAAGAGCAGCACGAAAGCGGGCGTCACTAGCATGGAGGTGAGAGATGAGGTCCTCAGCGGTGGTAAACGAGGACAGGTCGGGGAACAACTAGGGCAGGATGAGGCGTCCTACGGCTGCAGTGGCTGGGGAGGAATAGCGCGCAACTACAGCGTCATACAGCGCCTTAGCAGTCTTGTGCTGACTAAAATGCGTGCGCTCAGTGATCGGCAGGTGGTTACGGATAGCGAGGCGCGCAGCAGCATCACGAGTCTGCCACTGTGAGCGGTCAAGAACAGGATCAGTGGCAGCAGGGGCAGCGGCAGTGCCTGACGCGAGATCGAACAGAGAAACGCTGTCTTTGGCATCCGTCATAAGAAATACCTGCAGGTCATCAAGCCAAGTGGCAAACTCTATCGGGCGACCGTCTGGCTCAAACGCGAGAACGTTAAGCGTCGCCATTACAGCAGCGTAGGCAAAGGCAACAGACCACAGCAACTATCAGGCTCACAAGTCACGCTGGCGCAATGTAGGCAAGGCGCAAGGCAGGCAGGCAGACAGGCCGGCAGGTGCAAGGCAGGAAGGTGCAAGGCAAGGCAGGCGCAAGGCAGGCAGGCAGGCCGCAAGACTCAAGGCAGGCAGGTAGGCCAGTAGGCAGACAGGCAGGCCTGCAGGTGCAAGGCAGGCAGCAAGTGCGCAGGGCGAGGCGGCAGCGTGCAGGCAGGGCAGAGCGCAGCAGCGACAGGCTGCGTGGGGCTGCAAGCTGCGCGCGGCTGCGGGCTGCTCGGGGCGACGTGCTG